GATGGATAATCATCGTCCTCTTGTGTGTGAAATATCGGACACCGCGCGCGTACTTGACAACCAATCCAATATACTCAGACTGAGAGTCGTTACGTAAAGATCGTCCCGCGAGACCTTCATTATTTGAAGAGCTGATTTCCCAGTTTAACTGTGCCCACTGCAGGGTAATGTAGTGCACATGTTCAACACTAACTGTGCTTCAGTGAAGACTCATCAGCAGGCAATCGTGTTCATCTTCACATTGTCACGGCAGTAAGGAAGTTAATAGTTTCAACAATGGGCAATAGAAAATCTATACAGCTACATATAGCATATAAAAGTACAAGCTACAATTGATAATAATCAGTTCCCTCACCTAAAACACATGCCATATGCATATATATTTTATATACTTGCTCTTAGATTCTATTTTATGTCAAGGGTAAGAAATGTGGGGCTATTTGTACATATTAGTTAATTCCACAATATAAACTTGCTAGCTACAATACGAAAAAGTACTGTTACAGTGTTAGATTTAACAATATACGCTGTTGAGTCAAAATCAACATCAAACGTCTAATGTATAATACTATAAGAACATCAATACTGGGCGGTCTTTATACATACATAGCGATAGTAATATCTATCAGAAATACTAACATTAATATTTCGAAAACCATTTGGCTGTTCCTTTTGATATCGAAGTCTCAAAGTAAAAGTACGATCACAAGTCATGATCATGTTTCAAAGAGAGATGAATACTTATTTGTCATGCGAACTTTGATCTTATAATGATAAACTTTTCTCGTGATTCTCCGTAGTCATGTTTTCTGAACTTTCATAAAGGCATTAATAAAATTATGCATTGAAGAATTTTTATGAAAAGTGCAAGTAATGATGGAAACATCAAAGGATTGTTATTAAATCAATCAAATCTTTACTTCTTTGACTTATTTTGAACAGCAGTAGAATATTAATATAGCAAAGGCGATGTGTATGGTATAAACGTGAAACTTTTTTCGCCAAAAAAGTTATTTTCGTTGGTATTCCTAATTGGATTTCGGTATGTTTGTCTCGAAATGGTTTGCGACATGATCATAGACTTGACATTGTAAATCACATGATTAATCTTTTTTTGCAGTTAAAGAATTATAATTGCAGTATAGTCGTATATTTCAATGACACCCGGGGATAGCTTGACACTATCTTTATCCAACACAAACTCGAGAATGAATGTTACACCCCATACAGCTTTACGTGAATTAAGCAACACGCATGAACAAACGAATGAAGCGAGTTACTTAAAAATCCCTCGGCGTCCCAGTCTGTAAAATAAAGCCTGATCCTGCAAAAAGTAAGTCTGCCTCGCAGTGCGACTGTGGGAAGGCACCGGCTCCGTGACATATGGCGCTTCCTAATGCACCCGCGAGTGCAGTAAACATTTCAACCCTGCCTGTTAACCATTTATATTGTATGCATCGTGACAGCCGAATCGTGAGGATCATGAGAATGGCAATGCACGAGAGAAATTGTTCTCCTGTACCATTCCATTTGGGAAACATGTTCATAATGCGGCTCTTCAAATCTTTCTGACTGTACCATCATAGGAACAGGAGGAAAATGCAGTTGCTAATCAACGTAAAGATAGTTTCTTAAATGTATTTACTTGCTTAGGCATCATGACCGAGTTGAATCATAATTTGCTGCATGCAACCTTAGTTCAGACCTTCTTCTTCCTCTTAGTATTATCTCTCGTGAAAGGGCTGACATTTATTCATTGTACTGCAAGTTTCAAACGATAAATAGTATTTATCTTACTTCCTTATCGGTGGCTGGTATTGATTCGCGGTTGTCAGTACAAATCATACATAACAAACTACACAATTCTGAAACATACTAAATACAATGCTATTTTAAGGGACCCATCATTTGCTGAAGCTACGACCAAATTAGTGCAATTTAGCGCCACGGTATGTAAAGTTATTGTATATTGCAGCCGTTTCGGCAAAGATCTAGATTCAACCCAGTGCTGCTCTTTACACAACATTATTTTAGCGATGTTTCACAGTTAATGATAACTTTATCACCAACTGGTTTGGGCTGGATGGAAGAGCGATCCCCGGTCTGGTTTCTGGTGATAGGGCCATCCTTCAGCTCCAGATCTCACCCCATGAAGAGATACCCATGTGCTTGTTTCAGCCTAAGTTATCAGATTAGCCGTCTCCTATCCGTACTAATGAATACATACATCACGGAGCGCGTATCTCAGTCACGCATCCCTGCGTGCCTGACGGAGATAAACCACTCAACGTCACACGACAGAGTCTTACCGCAAACTTTCAGATCTGGGGCGGATCATGAAGATTCTCAGGGACTTCCTGCTGGTGACCTGAGATTCTTATCTCAAGTCAAGGGACGGTTGAGAAACTTAAGTCCACCAGTTTCAGACCTAAAGGAGTACTTCGATGAAAGTTAGACATCTATGTCATTTGACATGCAAGGGAATTGTTACTCAAGCAACTCACTGGATAGCATTTGAAAACTGTCAGAGATAAACCAGCCAGGCGACAGAGTCTAACCGCAAACTTTCAGATCTAAGGCGTATCGCGTGAAGCTTTCCAGGGAGGGACTTTCTAGTGGCGACTTGAGATTCTTGTATCACCTGGGAGGGTTGAGAAAGGTGTACTATTCTAGGTAGGTATCCCTCCATCTGGAAAGATGGTGGTAGCACTCATTTAGGCAAGGTCTGGTACCGGTGCAGCGTCTAGTGTTGCTAATCAGCCCTTAGGCTCTATCTTCTTCGCATGGCGGTCCCGATCGCGACCACAGTTGGGACTTGTGGCAATACAAAAGAATTTCTTCATAATCACCATATTGAACACCCCAAAATGATCAGCTACATGCATATGGTACATGGTTGCTTACCGCCTCCTTGAGCCTTGACCGGTGCAATGCATGACTGCTTCTGATGTTCTCGTCTTCATGTGAACGGGCCAACGAAGATCGAAAGCTGAAGTGACTCCCATTCAAACCTGCATAAAGATAGAATGACATAACACTTTAATGCCAACTTTTATGCACTTTTATACAACTCGCAATCTGTTGCGTCATTATTAGCTCAGATGTGAACTGTTTCAAGAAACAGCATTGTCAGAAAAGTTGTAAATATGGTTTTAGACATTATTTAGCTCCCGCCCTGACGTCTGTGACAGAGGTGCCGTCAACCCCACCCCGACGTTGGTGACATAGTATGCCATCCACAGTGATCATTCACGATGAACGTACAACAGGACCTACAAATCGATGGATAAAATTGAACCAAGTGGATCCGTTTCGACTTAAACTATCTCAAATATCGTCCTTGAGGGCCCCAAGGTGAAACGGGATCGAGGGAAAGCACGTGACCGCCGGCTGGACTGGCTACAGTTTTCCGATAATGGTGACCGGGCCGGTTCCATACCTGGCACCCACGGCGCATTCTCAATCACTCACGGCACCACGCACTTACAAAGTTCTGCTAGCGAGATATTGTATCGACGCTACTTCTACCCAGAGCGAGACAAATCCGAATGATTGGGCGGTGGGACTGTGGAAAATATCCCCGGCCCTTTCTGTGCATGAGTCCGCCGTCTCGGCCAGCAATTTATGTTCTAATCTGCCTGAAACGTTCAAGGAAAGACGACGAGCGGTCCGCCAGCCGGTGCCGGCCATAATTTCTGATATTCCTGGGATTACATCGATTGCAAATTGGCTCCTTGCGCGAGTGGAGATGGTTTCGCCAATAGGGTGAGGACGTAAATACATTGGGAGGGACTGGGAGGCCCGGGCACGTACAAGTAAGTGCATTTCAAGGGCACGAAAGGGCAATATCGGCCCGGAGTTAGATTATTCCACCGCGAACTTATCGGTCCATTTCACGGTATGGTTTAATTCCCGAGATGGAAATAATGAATAGAGAGGAGTAGGAATTTATCACATTAAAAGCCTTCCCTTGTAACAGTGTCAATCTGATGCGGGGTTCCCATAAATCGGGCCGCTCCTTAACAGCTGAATTAACGGTCTGTTCGCGGCCCGTACGTCTTGGTGACTTTGTGTCTTGTTTTGTGAGACATCATCTTGCAAAGGATCTCATCCTGTATGAAAATGAAACTCATATTTGACGGATAACGTCCTCACTATTACTTTGCCGTTCTGCCGCGCTGCACAGAGGCATGTGACATCGGATGGAATAAAGTGGGCCTCTGGGATTGATGACAATCGGAAATGCTAGACAATCGCTCAGAAGGGCATGTCCTGATGCCAAAGTCGTTCCCAGTCGCCGGGCCTGTGAATATTACATCTCTTAGATATTCAAACACCCAGACGGCTGTATGTCATGTTTGATCATGATACGGCAGGCATCAACATTTACATCACTTCTAGACTATATATATATCTGCCCGGCTACCAAAGTCGTTCCCGGTTGTCAGGTTGGTAAATGTCAAGTCCCTGATGTATTCAGACAGTCCAGACGGCTGTTTGTCATATAGGATCAAGATACAGCACTCATCTTTTGTATTTACATTATTTCTAGACTACGTGTTTCCGTACTAGGTACATAACCAGTACATGATGTGTTCAGGGGATGAAGATGATATGTTTAAGGAATGTAGATGATATGATTGAACGTATTACCCAACAATCGTACATGGTACAAAGTATGGTAGCTAATCAAGAATACTACAGGGCTAATCTATCCTACAGGTATAGCTACAATAAATTTTATACGTCCCGGAAATGTGGATGATATGTTCCGGAAATGCAGATGATGTGATCTGGGAATGTAGATGATATGTTGCGGGAATGTAGATGTGGTCCAATAATATACAAAAATGTGACAAAATATCCTTATTAAGATTTTTAGACAAGAAGCTTCATATATAACAAACAGTAAAATCTATACTTGAAAAAAAACGAAAACGTTTGAAATGATCGTGTACTGAGTCTGACTATTGACGGTTAAATTTCCTGTCTCTATCCAGGCCAGCTGACGTTACTGCTGGACGGTGTGGATCATTCCGCGAACACAACAAGCAGTGGCAGCAGCTCCAAACACACCCCTCCCCACCCGGCCCTGTCCCGCGTGCACACCATCCTGCAGGACGCCCGCACAGCCGGCAACTGGAGCCTGCCCAGGATACGGGAGAGAGACCCGGGCTACTTTAAGGAGTTTAAGGACGTGGTGTCCAGGCCGTACGTTATACGGGGGTACTCCAGAGAACTGGGAGACCATGTACTGAACAGGGAACACGCCGCCACCAAACGGGAGATGTTCTCGGAGACCAGGAGCGACAGATGCATGCAGGAGATGATGGGCAGTACCGGACCCAGGCAGGACCCCAACATGTACGTACCGCACTACATACAACTATTCTGTACCATGTATGTGTGATTATATGTGTGTAGATTTATTAGGACTTAATATGATGCAAACTGACTTCTTGACTATGAAAAGCGGCCAGACAGGCAGGACCCAACATGTACGTACTTCATTCCATACTGGTATTTTGAACCATGTATGTGTAATAATATGTGTGTAGATGTTTATTTGAACTTAATATGATGCAAACTGACTTCTTGACCTCCATGACAAGGTAGGGAGAGCAGGGCTTCTCATAAGCAAAGGTTTCAAAGAAACAATACAATACATGCATATGGTCAAGAACTTCACTGGGTAGGTTAGTCAACTATAACAAGTTCTAATACCGCAATTTTAGTTTGTGGCAAGTATCAGTAGACCGTATAAGGCCATGGTTAATCTTCTCCCTGCTTAAAAGCCGTTTGGCACTAAATCTGTATTTGTTACGGGTTGGAGCAGCAGGGAAAGGTTAGGGCATCTGGGCAGCTGCCAAAACGCCTACATTGTGGATTTGATTCACTTTTCACTTTTGATAATAACGGTGCTAATGGTAGACACATTTTAAGAGAGAGAGATAAGAGATGAATATAAAATATAAAGATGAAAGAAAACTTAAAGCAGCGATACCAAAATACCAACTCATCAGCTTTAACAACGTTTGCTACGAGGTAGTCAAGATCAAATTGAGGTTATCTGCCGGCTCAGACGCGGACCTATGGTCATAACTACTGCACCAGGGGGCAAATGCATTACCAACCTGTGGGTTTACTGCACAGTTAAAACCTAACTAAGCAGCATGATAGCAAAGTAATCCAAGTCCAAAAGTATACTGCAACTAAGAAGGTGTAGCTGACCGCAAGGGGTGACTTGAGGGCGAAATACTAGCGTAAACTTTTAAGCTGGCTTTTCGTCTTTTTCTATTGCCTTATTTAAAAGCAGAAGCACTTTCGCAATGTCCTATATTGGCTGTGTTTTTGTGGAGTGAAAAAAGTCACCTGATCACAGCAGCAGCAATAAAATAGTAGGTGATTGGTAAAACCACTGCAACAACATGACATCCGCTATGAAAGCTAAAAGTATGACTGATTATAAGTCCTTGGATTGATCGAGCTTTCAGAATTATCACAAAGACTACCGACAGAGGAAGTCCCATTGCACACGCCTCGGTGCATGCCGGGAATATAGCACCCCAGGGATCGCATCAGAACGAACTCGTTCTCGGCATTACCAGGCCACTCTCTGGGGACCGCATCAGTACGCACCCGCACTCAATCAAGCGCCGATTTGAGCGGCAATCGTTCAGCCCACATCAATACTGCTGAAATATTCCTACACCTCATCAACTCAGCTGCGTCGCTGGGCGTAGTCCCTTCGGGTTTAGACGAAGAAAGCTGCAAGAACTCTACAAGGACAAAATCACTATAGGAGAATCTGCTGGACGGTAATGTACTAAACTATAACGGATTTTTAAAGTGCCAAAATTGCGACATTCGTGCACTAGAAAGTAGTGCAACATCCTTCTTTGCAATTTGATGTCATGAATTTCAGTTCATAATTAGCAAAACATATTTCAATGAGGCATGAAAATGAGGTCTTCGATGTCTTCTTGTTGTTGCTTCTGTTCATACTCGTTTGACCTGAAGGAAGTTCATATTTTATTACCTCAACCAGAAACAACTCAGTTGCCATGGAAGTACGATGAGCTAGAGTGCAGCTTGTTGCTTTAGAAATGTTAAAACGTCATTTTTCCTGCTAGAGAAATATGAAATTCTAAATACTGTAATAAACAAGAGTTCCGAGATCTCATACCTCCATGAAATATGGGCTTGATATGTAAATGTAAATTTCTTCTTTAATTATGCAAATGACCTCTGCATTAACATAATATATGCATCGTGATGTTAACTTTTGATTAACTTAAAGATGTCCCAAGTAAGACATTCCCATCATTCACCATTGAGAAATCATATATTTTTTGCATTAATTATGCAAATTAGGTCATCATTTGCATAATTAGTATCTGTTGATGTTCCATCTGCCATAGGTTACATACATTACATGTATGAAAGTTCTATAATGTAAAACACTGTAATTATAGAATTTCCTCATTAATTATGCAAATAAAGTCCTCATTTGCATAATTTGCAGTTCATTATGTACATCTCTCTGTCAGATACCTACACACCAAAAATGATGAAAATACGCTGTTCCTATCTGGACTTATTGGCTTTCAAAGATTTCGCCCGAAAGTCCCCTGCAGTTCCTGAACAAGTTGCTAGGGGGACCAAACCCACACCACTTATTCCTAACAGGAAAAGCTATCTGTCACCAAAAATTCAAGACCACAGCATGTTCAGGACAAAAGATACAAAAACCGGAAGTTCTGCTGCAGTACCAAGGTCATCCACCAGGAGGCCCATATTTGACCTTGACCTTTGTCTTCCTAAGACTTATCAGCATACCAAATATCATCACAATCCATAAAGGCGTTATGAAGTTATGCTGACTAGAAAGTTGCGGAAACACACACAGACACACACACAGACACACAGACAGACGCCGCCAAAAACAATACCTCCATTTTTCATGGAGGTAAAAATACCGATTGGATACATACAAGTCGAGTTATGCCAAAGACTTGAAAAATGGTACATACTGCGTTCTCTGCTTAGCACTCAGCCTTTGGGAAAGAGTATGGGAGTTAATGATACACCACTACCAGTGGACTAGCCCCCTGCTGTAGTGATTGCACAACTGTGTGGACAAAGAGCTACTGAATCGGAGATGGGCGCCGACCTAAGCACCACATGGTGCGGGAGGACTTTAACTTTTAATATAACTAGATCACAAGGAAAGTACAAAACCCCACGCGATATCCGCGGACATGGGAAGGTTACGGGTGATTTATTTCCGATGTAATGATCACATGAGTCCCATGCGGGCAATCTCCATCACTCTTCCACGCCGGCCACATCGATAAGGAACCCCCGTCGAGGGGCGTACATGTATGCTGAGGAAAGAAACGTTTTCTCCATGGAATGCCTCTCTTCTATATCAGCCTGTAATATGTAGCTTGCTACAATGCTTTCCTTTTACGCGCAGTTAATGACCATGTAAATGAAATACATTCAATTTGGCTTTATATATTCATATAAATAATTTTATAATAGTTAAATACAGTCGTTAAAACTTGACGTCACATGAGTATATTTCTGTTAAACAAACCAACACCCTGTTGCTGTTATCAACGTAGAACTCCAAGACCTGGTCGACTGGATTAAAAAAAAGATGATCTCATTATAATCTGTATACTTTTTTTTAATGATTGGTTTTGATATTCATGCATTGATCTATACCCATATTTGAGAACCAAAAGCAAGAAACATTACACGGTTGTACACAGGTGAAGTGACAGGAGTCAAACAGATCTAGGCAGCTTCCCGCCCGGCCTAACACGACAGTCCGCAGCACTATCATTTCCGCCCTCCCACAGCCGTAACGATCCTCGCTAAAGCCGTGTCAGGTACGGCAGGATCAGGGACGGGGGATTTTCCGGCAGTCTCCTGCCTGGTCCGGGGAAAGCGGCCATCTGTCTGCCCGGTCCGGCATGGTGATGGAGACCGCGGTGGGAACAATCCCTCAGAGCGGGCAGGGGGCGGTTAATGGCCATGCAAAATGTATTCCATTTCGCTTTATGGGATTCATATCGCGCCGGGTGAAATAATGTCAACACTTTCACAGAAATTCCATTTGTGCCGTTATGCAGGTGTTGCGAGTACCGTGGCGCCTGCAGGCAAATGCGCTTTATATGGACATAAAGTTTCTCCATACATGGCTGGAGTTGTTAAGCCTTAAAAGGTGTGAATGTCAAGGAATCGAAACTTATAACTGGCGCCAGACAGTAAAATGGAGTTAAAGGTTGAAGATTTATTCGAGACTGTCTCCAACGGACAGAAAAGATGACGGTTGGCACCTCGGGAGAACATAACTTTACAAATGGTCCTAATATTTATAAAGAACATTGTCTGCTCGTTCTTAGTTGGAAACATCGTGAAAACTTTCACGGAGTTTTTAATTTGTACCGTTATAAAGGCGTTGCTAGTACCATATGTGAGACAGGGCCATGACATATGAGGGCAAATATGGCTTATATGCGCCTGAGGACACTAGTGTACCTGGGTTGTTAATAAAAAAGACGCCCGTACCGATCTACCCAAAAGTAAGCTGCGATAGCCACAAAATACGTTAAAGCTGAAGATCTATTCAAGTTGCTTTTGAAGAGCGTTGGCCATTCTGCGCACCAATGTTGTGCTGACATTGAAAGATAGCTAAACTTTACAAAGACATTATAGTAAAAGGCGATAAGACAAAAGTGGTTCATTTTCCCATGCGACTGTAATACGACGATTTGTCATATTAGTGTCACTAATTATGCCACTTTTCACCATCTTAGCTCTTATGACTTTGAGCATCATATCTAAGTATTCATTTGCACCGCCATTAAGAAGATAATAGGGACTTGCATCATCACTATACAGGCGCTAAAGACACATAAAGCGACAATATAATGATCCCTAAATGGGACATAGTATCGAACTATGAAGCAACTACGTAAAAAGACTGTAACTTCAGCACCCATCTCGGCCGTAAAGTTAATTCAGCACATATCGACAGAAATGAACCTGCCGGTGTGTGCCACTCCTATCTACCCCAGTACCAGATGGCTTTCAGTGGGATGTATTACCCCATTCGTTACGATGGTCATAAAAGCGTCGACAGAACCATTACTTTAAATTGTCGGCACAGACGCCATAGAAAACAACTCAGCCGAACCCGCCTTCATCCATCTACCCATCAACCGATACATTCAGGCAAAGGATTGTCTTTAATTGATAAAGAATGGGACGCCTCAGAGCGATTAATCTCTTCTCCGCAGCCTCAGAAATCTATAAATCCCGCCGATCTCAAACTGTCACTCCTCCAGGAGTCATCCCAACTTTTAATAGTTCCGTATGGCGACGATTCCTGGTTCATGATGTCTGCTTCATTATTTATCAATTCTATTACCGTATTTTCATCTGCTTCTCCGCATCGGTGAAGCGGTACTAGTTGTTTATCCCAAGCGAGCATGCGCACAAACCTGTAAAAGATTAATTACATAGATACGCCCCACGTTTGCCCAGAAATTAATAAAACTAGGACGAAACCGTGAACTAGTTCCTGCTTCATTTTTTAATCTTCCTTCCTGTCCTAGAAACGTCATAACCATATTCTGACAACAACAAAGAGAAGAAGAACAAAAACTGGAAAATCAACATGAACTAGTTCCTCTTGTCCTAGTTTCATTATTAATATGCTGGCAATCACTGGGCGTATCTGACAAGCCCATAAAAGATTAATTACGTAGATACGCCCCGCGTTTGCTCGCACATTAATGAAACTAGGACGAAAATGAGAGCCATCTCCTGTTGGTTTTCTCATCTTTGTTCTTGTCCTAGAAATTTTATGACCGTTTTCTGTTATAGGATCTAGGACATCATTGACAGACAGACCCATAAAAGATTGATTAGTCAGTTACGTCTCACACTTCACTACACATAAATGAAACCAGGATGAAAGAGAGAACTAGTTTTTGACGAACGTCTAATCTCTGTTCCAGTCCTAAAAACTTCTAGACCGTTTTCTGGTTCACGATGTCGCCCGTAAAAGATTGATTATCCAGATAAGTCTCACAAGTGATGACATCAATGAAGCTGGATCAAAAGAAGAAGAACCGAGGTGACAAATTCCAAGTCCTTGTCCTCAGTCCCAGAAACCGTGTCCTACCCGCCTTATCACCGCTGTCGTGACCCAGTTTTCACGGATCGTGCCGATCTATCGCAGAAATGACGGTCTTTTGACTCCGTGTTACAGACCGTGAGATCTGACAGCCAACAAATAGTCTGCTCCGGGCGCGACATTATTTACTTCAAAGTTTAATCACAGAGAAGTAATGGGGAAAACCTTAATGGAGCAATTTACAACTTCTGGGGTGACCTGAATAGAACAGACGAAAGTTTACGAGCGTAAGCATTAAAACCTGAGTCTGCAGTTTAATCTGGCGCGTTGGGGTCCATGGAAATTGATGAAACTCATCTCAAACACATTATGAAAAATGCTAATCTTCAACTGCCAGAGGTAGTAATAATTAGTCTGCACATTTGTGTCGCTAGATGACATTGTATGGTAAAACATATGTGGCAAAAACACTGAGAGTTGCAATATGTGAACATCAAAAGTTGAAATGTGTGTCGCCAAAGAACATTATAAGTTGAAATATGTGCTCCTGGTGGCAAATTGCATCCTAGAACAAATCGCAGGCAATCCCTGCAATTTCGCGGCAGGCCATTCTGGTGTTATTAGGAGTAATGGGCAAATGTCACTCCGTCACGGCATGTCCAAAGGCTAATAACTATTTCCGTATTATTCCTAACGTCGGACGATGCATCAACAATGTGTGAGTTTAACGTTGACGAAAAGGTGACAACGAAACAAAAGGGAACAGGCGTGCAGGAAGATATTTTGTGTGAAAGTAAAAATATCGACTGGAAGATTATCTTAGATTTTAATTTATCGATCCGTTAACCTCAATGCTGTTGCCTCGGACGGGGGAGACGTACATGCATAGTGACAACGTTTAGTCAAAACAAGGGTTGGGGCTGGTTGAACTTCACACTGCGACTGTGGCGTCCAAATGGTAATATTAATACACGAGTGCCGTTGGCGCCAATGGTAATCAATCATTAATACTTCACGGAATGAAATTATATCGCAAAACGTTGATTACATATATATATATACACGATTACTTCGTATTAGAGGAATGCTGGCTCATCAAGAACGTTTGGCGTCAACATTTACTGATATGTGCAATTACAAGTGAATGGATTTAGTCAAATGAGTCTAGTCCAGCCAAACAACATCCCCAGTTTTCTGGGTCCTAACAGTACATTATGCCATGGTCCCTTTACCCAGGTTAGGGTCGTGGGGCACTGCACAGTGGAGTGTATGATTATCTGCTCACATCTCTCTCGGCTGTGTGTTAGAGTTAGGGTTTCCGCAAAGTTTTTTTTTTCTTCCTGTCCACGCTTAGATGTTATCAACCCATTAGTCCTAATGGGCGCGGTTGATAAAGCAGTCAGTGGTCAGGGACACCTTCATGTGTTGAGCTGGCTGCGCCGTCACATCCCGGGGAGTCTACAATCCGTTCGAAGTAATCACTTTTCTAGCTTTTCGCCATTATTCTTGATTCCTTTTAGACACAGGAACCCATGAAAAATAGACTAATAAGAACGCGTACAGACAGAGAGGCGCCGGAGGGGACTAGTGAAGACAATCTTTGGCGGTTTCACACAACTCTGTCTCACAGGATAAAGTAAACAGAAAGAAAGAAATGGAGAGAGAGAGAGAGAGAGAGAGAGAGAAGAAAGAGCGCGCGCAAGAGAGAAAGATAGATACAGAGATAGAATTATAGATGGATAGAAAGACTGTGATCTGGAACCAGTTTAGCTCACAGGAAAGCTATTCCTTTACTGCACGGGTCACTCAAGAACGTGTAAGACATACCAAAGGGATGTTGAAAACAATCCAGCATGTACATGTAAACTAAATGTTACGTCATCAGAGTGATTTGCTTTTTCCAAGAAAAAGAGCTTCTGATCATGCTCCACCGGCCACGACAGCAGACAAACCATGATTTTTCACGTTTTTTTATGTTTGGTAAACGTTGCATTAGAATATTGCCCGTTGCAAACGACATAATTTCCGACACAACATTTTGAAACCACGGACGGGATGTTAACCTTATAAGCGCAAATACAACCTTATGAGACGCTCTGCTGAAGTGCTATGCACAATACATTACGGGTTTCGCGCAGGTGTAGTGCGTTCTGCCGACGTGCAGATTTCCAAGATGAACTGCAGGAGAAGTCGCAGTAATCTCGACCACCAGTAGCGACCCGGTATCGCAGATAAGTCTTGCCCGGAGGGGACCGAGTGATGAGTTACTGTGCTCTCGTGCGACGATGACAGCTGTCGTTCGTCTTAGGACATTTCCCGGGAGCTTTTGTCCTGGCAGATAATGCATCTCGTGTTCGCGGGGGGAATGAAGCGCCATTTGTATCCCGACTAAAAGGCGTTGTCTACATCTCGCGGGAGTTACTGTTGCAAAGTTTGGTACCTACTCACTTTTACTTGCCGTAACCTCTGCCGCTGATCAATCCAGAGTGAGACTCTCTCAGTAGGGCGTAAGTGTAAATGTCCTTGCCGCACTCCCTCAAGATTGTTGCAGGTTACTGTGAGATAAATCATACAAATCATGGGCTCTTTATGCAGAAACCTGCCGAGATCAAGTTCGTGTCGTTAGACGATAAGCGATCGGTAGCTACACTAGTATCACAATTTATGTGGGTAACATGGCCCGCACACACACCTGTTTTATCTAGCATGCTTTATTCAGATCCATGCTCAGCTACTGTCCTGGATAGTCCATGCGTATCCAGAGCCGTGCCCGGAGCAAATCTGTGTTCTTAGATACGCGGAACCGTGCCTGAAACCATAGCCCATTCAGGCATAGAACTAGATAGGTACGGTTCTGGACAGCCTGCACAGTACAGCCATCTTTAGTCGTGCAGAAGCAACTGCCTTGATTCTATTCATCTGCAGCTTCTAGGAAGTCGTGCTGTTGTGATTCCCATTCCCATGGCGCTCGCCCTAACTCCGGGGTGCCTATAAAAACTTCAGCACCGGGACTTTACAACAAATCACCGAGAACACCCGTCTTAAGGGCAGAATGATTAAGGAAATTTAGAGTTATTGCCGCCACGGCTTGTACCTACCATTGCTCATCGCATCACATCTGAGCAATGTTAACATCTATCACCGTGCCCCTGCGACATTGCGCCTTGGTAGGCGAATATAAATTCAACCCCTTGTATGTTGTCCTTGTTGCAAAATAACCGCGAGTCAGACCTCATCAGTGGGAGAGATTCATGACATGCATTGAACGCCCGGCACATTACTCCTCGGCGGCCATCTACGGATGCTTAATAGATGCATTAAAGAATAGCAATTGATGTAAGACAGTTTCCATTGATTTTCCCTTCCCTGCTGTCCCCCGCAGCCACACGACCCGCTGTACAGTAACGGATGAATGTTGGAGGTTCGTGACCGCTGACGGCGCTACTGGCTACACCATCACTCACCAGTTATTATGGACCATTCTGGGAGAGCATGTAAGTAACGGTCGTAACACCGGCTCTCAGGCACTCCAAATAGATTCTGTTAGGACTCCGTGTGACAAACAACGTCTTATGTAATTATTCGCAGGGTATTTTTTACACGTTTCTTAAAAAAGCCTCAAACGAACTATCCTACATGTAATGACATAGGAGCGCCCCTCCCACCGACCCGAGTCTTTCTTCAAATTATCAAGGAAAATCAGCTTAAGACATCCATGGGCTAGGTTTGAAATTAGATGTCAAGAGTTAACCTATTGAACAAAAATACTATGTAATTATGTGTGTGTGTGTGTGTGTGTGTGTGTGTGTGTGTGTGTGTGTGTGTGTGTGTGTGTGTGTGTGTGTGTAAAACTACAACAATTTTTGTACGCATTTCTTTAGGTTGGGTGCAAAGAAAACATCAACGCCTTCGCCAGTCGGGAAGGTGTGTGGGAAGGCGTGGAATCCATCCAGCAGCACCTTTGTACAAAAATCCTGAGAGAAGCGGAGGTCCTGGCGTACTCCGGACCGCCTGAACCGGAACAGGACCTGTTTCTAGAGCAAGGTAAGCAGGCCAAGGCATCTGCCCCGCGAGGAGTTCTGTTGACTCTTATCAACGAAATTAATTTAGGCGCGGATGCGTGAAATTAAGGGCTGCTTTGAAGCTGTGTGATAGAAGAAAATAAAGGCCTTCCAGTCTGCTGGTAGATTGCAATTATGGCACATGTTAATAACTGATGATGAGAGATTTGTATGTATCGTATGTAACATCAAATATCCATTATTACACTGGGAGACACGTATACTTGAACAGGGCAGCTTTTTCTTTACCTTTGTAAAATCTACCATAAGCAAACATGTCCCGTTTTCCATGTATCCACCACTAAATTTTAGAGATCATTGAACCGTGATGAGTAGCATTATTCACTATTAAGACGCCAATACCCATAACATTTCTCGTTGATGGTTCCTGTAATTTATGTCTTGCCACCAAAGTCTCAAGCACCTGTTAATTTACGACGTACAATTACTGTAATTAATTCGTGCTCGAGATAAGTCCCTAATGGTATCCCCGTCTCCCGAGTGAGTTTTACCGCCGCTGTGTTGAGATATCACTATTATGGCTGCTGGAAAAATATTGAGATAAGCGACCATCTGTCGTTCCCCCGCAGGTGTGGTGTGCGGCATGCTGGGGTTCAGAGACTTCATACGACGGGATTGGCTGCGAAAAGTGTTGTCATGGCAACGGCCCGAGGGGTGTTTCGGGTAAGTGTTGACGCAATGGGGACCCCGTGAACGGGGGACTACATGTACCTGACAATGCACGTAAAGTAGCCTAGCTAAAAGGTGTACAGATAAAAGGCTGCAGTGACATAATCCCCAAGCAGATCTTTGGTTGCTAGCGCTGCAAGAGAGGATCAAATTGGCCAGGCAGTATCCATTTTCCATACGTGACAAAAGTTACCAGAACAAAAAAGGGTCCCGATAAACACAGCCAAAGCACGTAAAAAATAAACCAAATCCTAAACATCTCCTTGGAGAGTGACAGTGAGTCAGATGCTTTTGTCAAAGTTTCATAAGTTCGGTTACATCATTACAATGCATCTTAAATCCACACAGGGACGTATTATACATAATACAAACCCCGCATGAAACGAGTCACTTTTAGGTAACGGGAGCATGGTATTTTCCCATATATGCAAATATAATTCATTAATATATGCAAGATTTATGCATACATGCAAGCACTTGCATTCATTACTACAACTTGTATACCCTATGTATCATAAGCAATTCATTCTACATATAATATTACTCCTTTGCACTCATTCTTTCTATCTCAACCTAAGGCACTCCCACATACCCCTGCTCACTCTTACGCACCCTGAGCACTCTCACGCACCCTGTGCACCCCCATGCACCCTGCGCACTCTCATTCAACCTCCCCAAACCTCATGCACCCTCACGCACCCTGTGCACCCCCATGCAACCTTTGCGCTCTCATTCAACCTTTCCAAACCTGATGCACCCCCACGCAACCTGTGCACTCTCATTCAACCTTCTTAAACCTGATGCACCCCACGTACCCTGTGCACTCCCTTTCAACCTTCTTAAACCTGATGCACCCCCATACAACCTTTGCACTCTCATTCAACCTTCTTGAACCTGATGCACCCCCACGCACCCTGTGCACTCTCATTCAACCTTGTTAAACCTGATGCACCCCCACGCACCCTGTGCACTCTCATTCAACCTTCTTAAACCTGATGCACCCCACGTACCCTGTGCACTCCCTTTCAACCTTCTTAAACCTGATGCACCCCCATACAACCTTTGCACTCTCATTCAACCTTGTTAAACCTGATGCACCCCCATGCAACCTGTGCACTCTCATTCAACCTTCTTAAACCTGATGCACCCCCACGCACCCTGTGCACTCCCATTCAACCTTCTTGAACCTGATGCACCCCCATGCAACCTGTGCACTCCCACTCAACCGTCTAAAACCTGATGCACCCCAATGCAACCTGTGCACTCCCATTCAACCTTCTTAAACCTGATGCACCCTCACGCACCCTGTGCACTCCCATTCAACCTTCTTAAACCTGATGCATCCCCATGCAACCTGTGCACTCTCATTCAACCTTGTTAAACCTGATGCACCCTCACGCACCCTGTGCACTCCCATTCAACCTTGTTAAACCTGATGCACCCCCACGCACCCTGTGCACTCCCATTCAACCTTCTTAAACCTGATGCACTCTCACGCAACCTGTGCACTCTCATTCAACCTTACCAAACCTGATGCACCCCCACGCACCCTGTGCACTCTCATTCAACCTTGTTAAACTCTCACGCACCCTGTGCACCCTCATTCAACCTTACCAAGTAAAAATCATGTCCTACTGATAACTGTTATTTTGATAATGTCAGACAACATTTTGACATCTACTGTCGCTGTTTATGTTAACAGAATGTACATAGGCTAGTTACTATCTCTGTCACAGGTTGCTAGTTTTCCTTCAAGAATAAACAGCGAAGTAAAAATCATGTCCTACTGATAACTGTTATTTTGATAATGTCATACAACATCTACTGTCGCTGTTTATGTTAACAGAATGTACATAGGCTAGTCACTAGGTTTTCCACAAGCCGTTACAGTTACCAAACATAACGTTACATATATTAAGTGGATTTTAGAGTAATAAAGAAAGGAGTGCGTTTACCGCTTTTTTTTAATTAGTCTTTGTGAGTAGGTACGAATCAGTTCATAGAAAACAATTGTGTGCTAGGTAGTATGAATGAGAGTGCACAGGGTGCGTGAGAGTGCATCAGGTTTAAGAAGGTTGAATGAGAGTGCACAGGGTGCCGGGTTGCATCAGGTTTGGTAAGGTTGAATGAGAGTGCGCAGGGTGCGTGAGAGTGCATCAGGTTTAAGAAGGTTGAATGGGGGTGTACAGGGTGCGTGAGAGTGCATCAGGTTTGGTAATAATATAAGGTTGAATGAGGGTGCTTGGGGGTGCATCAGGTTTAAGAAGGTTGAATTAGAGTGCACGGGGTGCATGGGGTTGCATCAGGTTTGGTAAGGTTGAATGAGAGTGCGCAGGGTGCGTGAGAGTGCATCAGGTTTGGGAAGGTTGAATGAGGGTGCACAGGGTGCGTGAGAGTGCATCAGGTTTGGGAAGGTTGAATGAGGGTGCACAGGGTGCGTGAGAGTGCATCAGGTTTAAGAAGGTTGAATGAGAGTGCACAGGTTTCATGGGGGTGCATCAGGTTTAAGAAGGTTGAATGGGAGTGCGCAGGTTGCATTGGGGTGCATCAGGTTTAAGACGGTTGAATGGGAGTGCACAGGTTGCATGGGGGTGCATCAGGTTTAAGAAGGTTGAATAGGAGTGCACAGGTTGCATTGGGGTGCATCAGGTTTAAGACGGTTGAATGGGAGTGCACAGGTTGCATGGGGGTGCATCAGGTTCAAGAAGGTTGAATGGGAGTGCACAGGGTGCGTGGGGGTGCATCAGGTTTAAGAAGGTTAAATGAGAGTGCACAGGGTGCGTGGGGGTGCATCAGGTTTAACAAGGTTGAATGAGGGTGCACAGGGTGCGTGGGGATGTATCAGGTTTAAGGTTGAAGGTTGAATGAGAGTGCGCAGGGTGCGTGGGGTGCATGGGGGTGCACAGGGTGCGTAAGAGTGCACAGGGTGCGTAAGAGTGCGCAGGGGTGTGTGGGAGTGCCTTAGGTTGAGGTAGAAAGAATGAGAGTGCCAAGGGGTAACGTTACATGTAGTATGTTGCTTATGATACATAGGGTATACAAGTTGTAGTAATGTATGCACGCGTTTGCATGTATGCATGAATCTTGCATATATTAATAAATTATATTTGCATATATGGGAAAATACCATGCTCCCGTTACCCACTTTTACATCCATTTAAGAGCCTAAAGCTGCACAAAGCCTCATCTTCTCGTGTTTTCCTGTCATTAAAGATGAAAGTGTCTCGGCAGGTTGATGCAGGTCCGCTATGCACTTCAGAAAATTGAAACGGCGAGATCACTGGGAACCACATTCCCTTAATGTTCAATTATTCATGGTAAAGTAAGCCTCAGTTTGGCAAAGCGACGGTTCTTCTTTCACGGGATCTCCTCTGGTAGAAGCTGGGACGGAATATGTGATTCTGTGTTTGAACGATGAAGGTGTTGGATTACTTCCGTGGCCGCAAGGAGGGTTTGCGAATCTACAGCGATAATGTCAATTCCCTTGGCAAGTTGCCGCATCGTGCCGTTACCTGCAAAGGGACGTATTAAACATAATACTGCTCTGCGCCTCACACTTCTACACTGCGCCTAAAGAAATAACCAATGTATGAAGATATTTATTGTACAAACATACCCACCAAGATCAGGTCGCAGCTAAAGAAAAGTTTGCAGATTCATCTTTCATATTTTCAATGTAGCCCTAGTACTGTCGTATATCAAATGAATTTGGCCTCTTCTCGAATCTTCGTGCTGATTAAGTACCAAAAACGTGTTGCCACCCGATGGGGGAGTTAAAATCATTTGAAAGGTACATATTTATAACACACGCCTGCATTGCCTCCAGTGTAATCCCGGACATTGCTTTACATGCCATTAACACATGGCGGTCAAGGCCGCCTTCGCACGGCCCGACTTGATTAACTACAGCCGACTGCAGGTCCTATTATAATAGACAAAAGGCATCCTAATAGCTTATGACCAGCACCCGTACCAAAATGCTCAAAGCACAAAACACGCGCAACGTGGGTTGAATGCTAATGCAGATAACTTCACTGTATAACTTCACTCAATTATGTAAACTGTATCTTTGTAATATATTTTGTCTGACCCTATCCTCATGACCTCAATAAAAAGCGGCCTGCAGGCTGATTCGAGCTTCTGATGAATAAAGAATGGTTCAAACAAAACCCCCGATGCTGTAGATATTGTGCAACTTGGAAACGGGGCGGTATTCTAAAAAGACCTGCGATCCGCCTGACAGGGCTGTGGTCTGAGGTTGGTGTATGATTTATCTGGAGAGACTCCCGCGGTTATACCGCCGACCCGCCAGCATGTACGGGTCAACCCTCACACGGAGACCTGATCCCGCTTCACACGACCTTCCCGGTGAAGCATCGGACCCTCACGACCATTTCAAGCCCCATCTTCCCGGGAAATGTCAGAGGAAAACCTGACGTCTCTCAGTAGTCAGCCCACACCAGCCCCGACCTGCGTACTTACGTAACGAGACTTATAGTGCATAGGAATGCTGGTGACCCGAGAATCTAAAACGTAACCAGGTTCTGTGTAGGTCTCAGTGCCCAGGCACCCCGTGGGAGACACAAAAATGTCGGCAGAAGAGCAGATGTCGTAACGTTTACGTGACTGTCGTGTACTTGGCAGCCATTTATGCCCTGAAGTACTAAGGCAAGACTCGTTCCCACGGCCCTACATCAAACGTCTCTCAACAGGAGTCCTCACAAGTTTCTCACATAATGCACATTAAGTGCAAATTAAACTTAAAAAAGACTGAACATAAAGAGCCTCCGGATCCGTGCAAAGAGACAAGTCTCTAAGTTAAAGTAAAACACTATGGGTGTGTGAAGCGAAAGTCAGCACAAACTTGTCCACCCGTCAGTAGGATATGGGACTATTTGACGTACCATGTACTTGCAGTTTTGAGGCTCATGCACTCTTCTGGTTACTACGTTATTATTATGCAGCTCAGACATTGTTTTGCAATTACTGCAGTAAAAT